ATGCATATTTTTGCGTCAAATCTCAATTTTCAGTTCGTTAATTATAAAAGTATGTAATAATAATATTTATGATCAACAACTGGGATCTAGATCTTATGTTTTGGTAGCCGGGTTTCAAAATATCTCCATAATATCACATGTGGTATGGTAAGTAGTCTAATACTACAAGTAAAACTTGTACAATGTACATACTACAAAAGTTTTTATCAAGTAAGTGTAGTTGACAACAACGATTATTTTTGTCCTTTATAAAGCTATAATTGTTGTTATTGGTAAAGGTATGTGTAGTTGTATATTAAACAGTCCTGCGAAATATTTTTTTCATTTTTGTTGTTTGTATAATAATACCTGATTTTTATAGATTTTAATGCGCAAAATTCAAATCTGAAATTAGTTTGTCTCTTTTACGTCTAATTTTTTTACAATTGAAATTTACAAGATAGTATAACATTTACATATAAATAATGTACGTTATTATTTTATTTGAAATATTTTAATTGCTATAAATTTAACTAAAGTAAAATTAAAATTAATTCTAAGCATACTTATTTAAAAAAATATTTGTTTATTTTAATTCTTACTCTTAAAGTATTAAAAAAAAAATGTATTAAAGTAACTTATTTTCGGTTCTTTTTTTTTGCAGGATCGTAAAAATTAAATTTATTTGATTTTCTTTTGTAGCTTTGTTTTTCAGTTTCACATTTTAAACACCAGCAGTAATTGGCGATCATATTAACATTCCATCGACCTTGATATCGCCTTTTCATCTCTTTGACGTCTTGATGAAAACGTTCACCTTATTCTTCACTTAATGAACCCAAATTTTCAGGAAAATAGTCAATATGCGAATTTATAAAATGCAATTTATACTCATATTATAGCCTAATACTTGTAAGTTTTTCAATAAATCGGCTACAATCGATTTATAATCTGGATCTTTCGTATTACCTAAAAATGTCGATACCATGCTTTCAAAACTAGTTCATGCATTTTTTTCTACGGTGGTCATACTATTTTGAAAATTTGTATCATTCATTAGTATTCTGATTTGTGGCCCGTCAAATATACCTTCTTTGAGCTTTTTTTCAGATAATACAGAAAATTTATGGCACAGATATTGGAAACTATCCATTTTTATCAAGGGTCATTAGAAAGTGCTTCATTATTCCTAACTTTATGTGCAAAGGAAGTAATAAAACTTTTTGTGGTTCGATTAAATTATGACGTATTATATTTTTAGTCCCTAGTTCTAAGTTCTGTCTTTTTGGCCAATACTTCACCGTCCAATGTTTCATGCGATTTCTGCTGTCCCATTCGCATAAAAAACATGGAAACTTAGTATAGCCACCTTGTTGACCTAATAACATTTCTAAACTTTTAAGTCACCGTAAACAATCTACTTATGTAGTGAATATTGAACTTTTTCTAACAGTAAACGTAAATTTTCATATGTTTCTTTTGAATTTACAGAATGTGCAATGGGAATAGACGCTAACTGGTTTCCGTTATGAAGTAAAACACCTTTTAGATTTATTTTAGATGAATCTATATACAAACGCCATTCATTCACATCATAATATTTGCCTGAATATTGAATTAATCCAGAAATATTATTATAAAATACGAGTGATCCATTCTTTGAAAAAAATTGTTTAAATTCCATTTCACGATTCCTATACTATTAAAAAGTAGTACCTTTTGCAAGTAAATTTTTTTCTTTTAATCTCGAACCAAAATTTCACCTGCCTCTTTAGTAAAGACTAAGCCACGTACTAAATCATTTAATTCAAATTGATTGAAAAGTTGTGGAGCATCTGTTGTGTCAAGTTGAACGTCTTTATCATTATTACTATGATTGTCATCGGAATCTATAGAAGTATCGTGGTTTAAAATAGTTCCGAAAGTTTCTGATGGTACAGGAACTAGTAATTCAGGGCTATGTAGTATTGGTCGTATAGCAGAAGGTAAATTTGGATAAATTAGCTTTGATTTGTTTTTATTATTATAACCACAAATACAAAACCATACAAAAATAGCAATCGTCAATATAATTTTTTGGTTCTCGTGAAACCATTGGTATTCCAAAAGGCATTGATAAACGCTTATCTTGCTTCCAATTTCGCAAACCTTCAACACAGGATCGGCAAACAATATGGGGTGCCCAAGATTTATCTTGATCTCCTAAATGAATATCAAAATATTCATGGTATACATTTTTTAACAAAATTTGTTATGCTATTTCGTTATTCATTATAACATATTCACCACATATATAATAAAATAAATTTGAGTTGTTTTTTACAATATCTTCTTTTAATGGTTTTAGATGTCATACTTAAACAAATTGAAAATCAAAAATCACACGAATAAAATCTTAGAAATGTGATATAGAACCAGTCTTGAAAAAATACTTTTGAAAAATAATAATAATAATAATAATAATAATATGATAATAATACTAGTATTCGAATAAAATACTTATAAAATACTATTATAAAAATGTATTTCACGAATACTCACTAAGTATTTGAATACAAATACAAGTATTTTTTTTAATTTTATATTATATAATATTATAGTTAACCATCCCCCCTCCCCCCAATAGAAAAAAATTGTGTCTATGCCACTAATTATATATCAGTTTAGGTACCTATATTATGATACTAATTACTACAGATTTAACAATTTTAAAAATACAAAACATGTCTGACTATTTAGAGGTCATGTTCACATATTTCATTCACATATTTTATATATCTACTAGTATTAATACAATTAAATGGACAAAAAAATAAATAAAAAATGGTATTAACTATTAGTATAGAACTATTTGAAAAAATTTCCTTAAAAAATTACAATAATAAACCCATATGAAATTGGATGTAGCATTTTTTAAATTTTTGACATTGTTATATACTACTTTTTCTGTTATACTATTTTTTTGTGTTTATAAATTGAATCTCATTAATATAATGCTTTCTTTTTATATAATTATATTATAATATAACCTAGATAATGAGATAAAAATGTATCTTTGATACTCTATATTCATGAAATTAATAAACATGAAATTACATTTTTAGAGTTGAAACTTAAAGATTAAGCCGATAATATTATTTTACATTTATACAGGTATGGTTAAAAATAAATTACTTTTTAGAAAATAAATATTACCAATTGTAATTACAATATAAATAATAACCATTGCATATTTTAATAAATTATTTACATTATTATTTATTGATATTTGTCACAACGTATAACAATTAATAGTTATTAATTTAAAATTAAGCAAAATAATATTTAAAAAAAAAAATATATGATAGCGTTAAAACGGTTTGAAATTTAACAGTTTTAAAATTAGTTATATTATAGTAATATCTTATTATTTTATTACTTTTTAGATTCATCAATAATAACCGAATATTATTCTTAGAAGTAGGAACAATTATTAGGATAGATAATTATTATGATTATACAATTATTAAAACGAACTTTGTGGTATTTAAATACAAGTATTTACAAATTGTTAAAAATACTTTTAAAAAGTATTCAAAATACTTAAAAAATACTTTAAAAAAATTGTATTTAGAATACCAAAAAATACTTCAAAAAGTATTTTAATACATGTGTTCAAATACTTGTATTCTAATACTTCACAAGACTGTATAGAACTCTGATATTTTATGAAGAATAAAATGAATGTAACTATAAAGAATAGACATACATTGTATGAACTTAAAAATATATTTAATTGAACTATTATAAGCTAAGAACTACAATAAGATAAGTAATTTAATAAATATAAGATTAAAGTTTCAGTAAAGTATACTAAATTGAGTTTATAATAATAATTCAACTTATGAATATATCGCATATTTTTGTATGAGTGTATAGAAAGTACAATATTTATCATTCAAATTATAGAAAAACTAGACCTTTTAGAGAAAAATTGATTACAGATTTGAATTCAGCGCGTCAAAATCTATAAAAGTAAGTGTAAAAATTTAAAACAACAAAGTAGTTGCAGGACTGTGTTATTTATTGTATACTATAAAATAAAATTTATGTATATTATTGTAACATTTATTCTTAATATTATTGTCATAATACTGAAATAATATTTAAATTACAATGTTTCATTAATCATACGAAAATTGAGTCTCTCCACACAATCCTGGCTGTTCTCCCAACTATCCTGTATACACACCAAGGTCGCCAATTGGTCAAAAATTTGGGGGCTACAATTATAAAAAAAATCGAAAATAAAAACTAAAAACCAAAAACGATAGGGATTGCATTCATTAAATAACAGAACAAGCATATTATATTCAATATCAAAGTTGAAAACGTAATCATAAATGTTATTTGTTTATTTATTTATTTAGATGAAAATAATATTTGTCAACAAGAAGTGTGATTATTTTTTTTTGCCATCCATATGTGTCAACTAGTTTTTCAACAAATTCGGTGTCATTATGAACGTTTTCCTCGTAAACACTATGCATAATATACACGGGCACACTGTGCATGTACGTCATGTAATATGTCATTAGTGAAATTAATTTATTGTTTACAATCAAAAATAAAACGACGATAATTTTTCCAAGCGGTAGGAGGTATCATGTCACGCATTGCGCCTACTAACGGGCGCCCTTGGTACGTGTGGATATGTATTTTATTAATTTTAAAACGTATAACCGATCTATTGAACATTTTTTTATTACGTGTACCACATTTACTTTGGTAGAGAGAGAGAGAGAGAGAGAGAGAGAGAGAGAGAGAGAGAGAGAGA